CTCGTATTCCTAGAGGCACTGGGTTTGGTCTTGGGTATATATTTATTGATCAAATGGGTCACTTTACTACCGTAGTTATGATATTCAGCTTAGTGTCTGCGTTCTTGTGCCTTAATGAGTCAGGCCAGTTGATACCTCTCATCTCTTCCCTCATCCCATTGTAATTTCCCTTGTAATATTTGCACCTTGGCCTGGCCTTATCCTGAACTAGGTAACAGTTAAATCTGAATGACAACACTATATGGTGACTGGTGCCAACTGGGGCAAGGTGTTCCAGTTTGGCCACCATACCCTCCTTGTGTGTTATGATGAGGTCAAGTGGCTTGGGTGTTTGCTCCCCTCAGCAGTATATAATTTGCCTTGCTGTAATTTTTGTAAGATAGTGATTAATTTGAGTACAGTATAAACATCACATAGTTTGCACTAAACATAAAATTTTTAGTAATTAATTTATTACAGGTTTACCCTTAGGACAATTATTTCTTTAAATTTTTCACAATATATATTTAGGATGGTATGTGCGTGTAAATGAGTAAAAATAAATGAAGAAAGTTACGTATATCTTCCCGAAAATATGAGTTACAAAACTTGTACACAAATATACTACACAAGACTAAAATTTCTATCTCTTGTGCAAACTATGTGAAGTTTTTACTCAAATTAATCACTATCTTACAAGGATTCCAGCAATGCAATTTATATTTTGCCAAGTCTAGTTAGCTAAATTTATAAGATAAAAACTTTAAGCCTAAAACTAGCTTCACCCAGGCTGGGAGGGAAGTTAAGTGCCCCCTCGTAATTTTGTCCGGACTAAAGGAGGTGCCGGACCATCAGTTCCCGGATAATTAGTGGTGTACCTGTACTAGCATCACCAGTGGCATCATCTCTATCACTTCAGAGTGCAATGTTCTGCTTTCCACGCAGTATTACAGTCTTAACCATAGACACTATCTTTTTTTTTCTTTCTTTTTTTAAGCAACTCGTGCACTCTGCTGATACAATCTGCCCATGCACTGGCTGTATCTTCCTCTCCTGAAGAGAGCAAAAACCACGAGCAATTATTAGAGACTGACAGTGTAATTCTGACTTTGTACTACATTCTGCCAGTTTTGTTGTTGCTGAAACCCAGTTGGTGAGTGGAGACTGGTAAAGTTTGTTGAGCTTACTGCTGTTGCGACCTCCTCCTACACCAAACAACACACATGGCAAGCAGAAAGATCCATCAGTTGATAGCTTGTACACAAGCCACAGGTATAGTTACAGCCACTCACTATTGAATCTTCTGTTAGCTTTTTGATAGTTGTAGATGGGAACTTCTATCCCTGTGTGGTATCCAGTGCTGGGTCAACAGTTCTTACTGTATTTTCTGTTGTCTGAGAGCTCATCAATACTATGAATATACAAGGCAAAGTCACTGTTGATGTTTTGCTTGTATTTGTCCCAAATCTGAGTCTCTATGTGAAGTTACTATATATGACAAAAATAACTTCAGTTAGTTATTATCTATGCAAACATATATTTGCTGCCTCGTGTGTGCAGTGCCAAAAGGAACTTTGCAGTTTCCTTCTTTTCTTATGTTCTGTGTACAAGGTACACACAGATCAATAGTTACATTTGCAATATGAGGCACCTAGAATGGGAGTGGCATAAGCACCCAAAATTATGATTGAGAGATATGGCCACAGGCATGTTCACTGGCCTTTGTTCTACATGATCAAGCCTGACTGAGAATCGCTTACGCCGCTGCAAGGTTGAAAATTCCATTGGAAGAGCACGTAACTAATATACCCAGTTTCATGAAAATTTGGTGATATTTATTTATTTATTTTTTTTTTTAGGGGGGGGGGGGCGTTTGGGGATGTGGCAACATCCCTTTTACGGTCCAACTTTTGTGGAAAGTTTCATTGATTTCCATGCAGTAGTTTCTATGGTACATAAACTTTAAATGCAATTTACTCAAAACAGGCATTTTGGAGATATGCCATTCCCATTCTAGGCACCACATATGAGGTAAGTGTCTCTTCTTCACTGTCATATTCTTGTTTATGTTTCAGTCACTGGATTACTGGTAGACACAGACTTGCATTGATGTTCGTTGTACAGTACATAAAAAATTTCCGAATATCCATTATGAAATTCAAAAAGCACTCTTCACCATGCACGAAACTATAAATACCAGTAGATGTTAGGGTAAAAAAAATGCAATGTCGCCCTCCTCAGCAAAGGACTGGTACAATCATCACTACAAAAACTCCTTATATCTGTATGCATGATTTCCCCTCACAGAAGTTTACACTCACATCACCTGACCTGATTGTGAGAAAGATTTAGGGGTAATGATAAGTAGGAATCTTAAACAAAGACAACGATGTGTACTTGCTCAAAACAAGGCTAACAAGGTACTTGGGTTCATATGAAGGATATTGAATCCCTAAAAAACATTCAGAGGAAGATGACAAGACTAAACCCAGGCATTAGGAACCTTGAGTATAGACAAGATTAAAGCATCTGAATTTGCATGCCTTCGTGACGTAAAATGAGGGGCGATATGATCGAGATGTATAAATGGAAGTCGGGATTAAACAACGGTGACATAACAAAGGTACTTAAACCATCCAACCAGTAGCGATCTCATAGCAATGGTTTTAAATTAGACAAATTCAGATTTCTGTGTGAGATAGGTAAACACTGGTTTGAAAATACCTGTAGAGTAGTGGATGAGTGGACAAGTTACCGGACATCACCATTAACTCAAACATGCTGGGAAGCTTCAAATATAGGTTGGACAGATATACGAATGATAGGAGTTGGGGTGTAAACGGGGCTGCCTAATATGGGCCAATAGTTCTGCTGCAGTTTCCTCCATTCTTATATTCTTATTCTCCCTTGAGGCATTGAATCCCAGATGGAGTTTAGGTAATATGGGTGAGGTGGTAATGTGAGTGTAACCTTACCTGTGACCTTACCTCACCCCTAGGCTCCCCCTGCTACGATTATCCCATCCCTGGGAACGGTTTGTCAAACCTATCACTCGGGTAGGGAAAGTGACCAATTCAGTCAGAAGTTGGTGGGCCACGCAGGTCAACATTGACAATGAGATCATGTTATTGATAAGTTAAGTATTTGACTGATTGTATAATGATACCTTTGCACTGGTCAGAATTTTCTGAGCGATGCAAGAGCATTGGCTGCATCAGCCTGGATCCGGCCCTGCCAAATGCCAATTGTCTTAAGACGACAATTGCACAATTTCGGTAAGTTGGCTGAAGATTAGGATAGCAGTTAAAGGGTTAAGTGAGGGATGTTTTGTAAAGAAAGGCAAGAAGAAATTGGAATAGAAGTTTGGTAAATCGGCAAAATAAAGAAAATTCAAGAAACAGGGTTGACTAAAAGGAAATCTGGAAGTACCAGACCTAAGAGTGTTTCCACCCAAGATATTATAGACTGCAGCTACAGACTGTCAGTTTGTTTCTACTGTACAGGATTGACTGGGCACACACTTATCTAAGAAAAATAATAATGCTGAACACTGTACAGTATTTACTTATATATGACTGAATTACAGTAGTACCGGTAAATAAAAACCGGGGTTACAATACTTTTATCCTCTTCACCACTGATTGCCACCATTGAAAATGTCACTTGGGATTTGTTTCATGAAAACATTCAATTCACAAAATCTTGTATGGTACTGTGCATCTATTTATGGACATTTAATTAATCAATTTATCCAATTCATTAACTGGAACAGATGATACTACATACTATAAGATGTAAATACTGTACTGTACATGTTTACCATATGTGATGCAAGAAAATTACAGAAGAGTATAACTAACAGATTTCTTTTGCATATACAGTATCTTGCAGTATGTATTATTATTAGACATTTTCAATTTATATACTGTAAGAGGATATATGGAGCCTTTTTATGTGTTACTAATACCATAGTTATGATGATAATGAAAATATAGTTTCAACATATGCTTACAACTATCACAACTGCTTATTGCCAAATGGGGTGTGTGCTGGTTTCTGGCAGAGATTTTCTAGATGCTATATGTTACCAGTATATGACAATTGCCAGATGCACAATGTAGTACCTGAGGCCTTAGCTCTTCAAAATGTTCCACTAAAGATGTATCAAAGTGATTTTAAGGGGTTCAGCTGGTCTGGTAGGAACAGGTTAAATGTCATGGGTTGAAGCATGGAGTTCATAGATATGGTTGTTAACTGTCAATGTTCCAAGTGGAGTGAATTTTCCTGGTGTATCTGTGGCTTCACTGACTCTCAAAGTAACCATGGAACTAGGAGAATAAAGTAGTAAAGTAATTTGACAGGTCTGCATTAATCCATAAGGGCAATCAATGTAACCTACCTCAAGAGAGTCAAGAGGCTCCTGAAAAAGATGGACTCTACCAGGAGTGTTCTAGTTGGCAAAATCTCACTGTTTACTCATCAATGATTCTCAGGTTATAAAAGGATACTCGTGGTTAATCTGCAAGAGCCGTTATTAAAGTGTGCATTTAAATACATATGGAGTGAAATTCATACCTAAACTGATCACACAGTGTCCAATATTAGTACACTGGAACAGGGAAATGTATTGTTTGTCAAGCTTAAAAGGAGCATGAACAGAAAAAAAAAAATGGTGAGATAATATGTAAGTCCCATCCTGAGATAACTGAATGTGGACCATTCAAGGTGTCACACCTATTGAAAAGTAAATCATATTTCAAGATAATAGTCTGAATATAAATACACTCAAGTAGTTTCTGATTTTCTTCTTCAGACCTGCAGTGAAGTATGTGCACAGGAAAATTTTTAATGACAAAGATAAATTTTCTGGGCGTGCCTTCTCACTGGTCCTAGTGTGCATTTATTCTTATAGTTTAGGTACAGTATTACAGTTCTGTACGTAGAAAATCCAAGAATCCTTATAAAATCTACAGTACAGTATTTACAATACACACTGATCTATAAAATCTTTTAAATCTTACCTTCCGAAAGAAGACACCTGAAATGAAAAGGAACAGTAATTATTACATACTGAGTCTTCATCAAGAACACACTCAAGAATAAGTGTACAGTATAACTAATAAACAGTCAAGGATATTTGAGAAAATCAAACTCTAGTAGTAAAGAAAATGGCATTCTAGTGGATACATTACAGAAAGCAGACGAGTACTGTATGTATATTATGTATCCTGTATGTATATTATGTATGTGCTCCATTTATATACACTATTTATTCAGCCTAGCTAACAGCATGTGGCAATGTATTTACCATGTCCCACACGCTTAATTAATGTGCCTGGCGACATATGGAAGCTGCTAATGTATCACTTACCACATGTCACCCGAAAGGCTAGTTGACCCCCAGACAGAGTAAGAGCGCCACCTCCCTTGTGTATCGGTTTATCCAGGAAATAGAACCTACGAAAACTCTACAGGTGTTTGTGTTCGCTCCTGTAGATAGAACTTGATACCCAGAACACATGCAAGTACCTCATACTTTACAGTATACTAGTACTGTAAATATACAGTAATGCACTGTACTTAGGCATTCAAAAGCAAATCCCAAGGCATCAATGCAAATAGTATACAGCACCATACCTGTACAGTATAAAATAAATACAAATAAACTAACAAAGCTTCAGCAAAAAGCATGATATATACACTATTAAAGAGGAACTCAATTTTTTTTTCAAGCTATAAAAGCTCAATATGACCACCTTTTTAAGTTTCTGGAGATATCAAGGTGATATTTTGTTTCTTTCCATACATTTTGTAGCATATCATACTGAGCTTCTCAAGTATCCTTTCATTCAAATTTTCCAAAGTTGTTGGCCCTGGTGGAATATAAACTTCATTTGTGACATAAACCCAAAGGAAAACATCAAGGAGGCTTCAATCAGGAGAATGAGTTAGTCAACAAATTGCCCCCCCAAGACTGAGCCAATTTTTTTGGTTTTCTTTTTTACGGGGATTACCCCACTGGGCACAGGTCACTGACCTACATCAGGGCCTGGGGGCAAAAATATAATAAAGTAAAAGAAACAATTGAGACCCTGCAATTGTGTGTCGATGAGGCAGAAAGTCAGATCAGCAACCTGGGACCTGGTCACAATTTTTGTGGTGCCATATGGCAGCAGGGTCTACCATTAGACAATACAGTACAGAATGTATACTGTATTATACTTCTGATTAGTCAATTATTCATTCAGAAATATTTAACTCAATAAGTATTAAAAATAAAATTTTCCTTAAAATTCTTTATAAGTACAGTACAGTATATCATGGTTTTCACTATAGATTTGTTAGGTTTTCATAATAATAATAATAATAATAATAATAATAATACTGTATAGTACAAATAATTGTTTTCATCATCCAGTTAAAATATACTAATCAGTACAGTACCTTAAATACTATATATATACTATATATATAAACTGTAAAAAACAAATTATAAAATATGAGAACAAATAATACTGGCACTGTACTGTAGGCAAACCCCGTTATTCATAGTCTTGGTATTCGTAACCCCGTTTATCCGCAATCAATTTATTATTACCCATTTCCACTATTCGCAATGGTTGCCCCGTTTATTCGCAAACTCTTACGGCGCGCCTCAACCGTAGCGTAGGACAGCGTGTGTACGTATTCCTCCGCCATACGCTCCCGCTCGCCTCAGTCTCACATGGGCTGGCGTGTATTTTGTGTGATCTCGCAGTTGTGTTTTGTGTGCTCTCGCAATGTCCAAGCGACCAGCTACTAAAACTCCCAGCAATTTTGCCAAGAGATCACGTGTGGCAGTTACGTTGGATGTGAAATTGGATATTGTAAAAAGACATGAATACGGAGAAGGAACATCAGTGATTGGGCTAATGCAATGCTTGGCTCCCTCTACGGTGCATTCTATAGTTAAAAGCGCTGACAAGATCAAGGAGATGGCCGGGTCTGCAACACCACTTGCAACAGAAGAAGATTAGGGTCCATTTCTAATGCCATATCCATCGCCATCTCAAATGAAGAATTCAGCTTCCTTAGGTTCTGTACAGTGAGGAGTTGTGTTGGAGTTTCATCTGCTTCTTCTGTTGCAAGTGGCATTTCTTCTTGTTGAAACCTCTCCAGTTCTATCGGGTCTTTATTGGTAAGTTCTTCATTGTGAGTCGAGGAGGTCTTCTAAGTCAGCGTCACCCACTTCATCGAATCCAGCCTTCTTTGCAAGTCACAATAGTCTTCCTTATTGCAGGCACTGAAGGGAAACCAATGAAGTTGTGCACACACTCGGGCCACAGCTTACGCCACACACTATTCATGCTCTGTTGTGTTATTGCCTCCCATGAATCACTGATGTTTTTATGGCTTTCCTGATGTTGTGTTTTTTCCAAAACTCCCGGATTGTAGGTTTCCCTTCTCCATCGGTCCCCTCAACCAGCTGCTCCATGATACGCTAAGTGTAGAGCGCCTTGAATGTAGAGATGATGCCCTGGTCTATGGGTTGCAGCAAAGCCGTGGTGTTGGGAGGCAAAAACACAACTTTAATGTTCTTACACCAGTCAACCATAGCTGGTGGATGACCTGGTGCATTGTCGATCACCATCAGAGCTTTATCATCAAAATTATTTTCCTTATTATAGCGACTAATGCGACCGGACACATAGTTGAACATGTAGTCGTGCATCACAGACCCTGTCACCCACGCCTTACGGTTTGAACGCCAGACGACGGGAAGTTGTCCCTTCATAGCCCCCCTCAGAACATGGGGTGTTTCAGACCGGTACACAAGGAGAGGCTTTAACTTCAGGTCACCCTCAGCATTTCCACCAATCAATAGAGTGAGGCGGTCCTTGGCAACTTTGAATCCCGGTGCGGTCTTTTTCTCCTTAGATATGTAGGTCCATGGAGGCATTTTCTTCCAGAAGAGTCTGGTCTCGTCCAAGTTGAAGACTTGCTTAGGACTGTACCCACCCTCCTTAATTATGGTTGTGAGAAACGGTGGGAACTTCTCTGCTGCTTCATGGTCGGCGCTAGCTGATTCTCCTTGTATTTTTAGGTTGTGGATTGATATATGTTTCCCAAATCTATCAAACCATCCACGGCTGGCACTGAACTCAGGTACGTTGGGTTTATCTTTAGTTATATCTTTCCACAGCGATCTTGCCTTCTGTTGAATCATGCATTGTGATAAAGGTGTTTTAAGGTGCTGGGTCTGGTCATCAATCCAAGTGCTCAACATCTGCTCCATACTCTCCATCTCAGCATCACGGAACCTCGTCACCTTCGTAGCTGTCAGTGGTGTTGCAGACCCGGCTATCTCCTTGATCTTGTCGGCACTTTTAACTACAGTACGTATAGAATGCACCATAGAGGGAGCCAAGCCGTGCACGCGCCCAATCACCGACGTTCCTTCTCCGTGTTCATGTCTTTTTACGATATCCAATTTCACGTTCAACTTAACTGCCACACTTGATCTCTTAGCAACATTGCTGGGAGTTTTAGTAGCTGGTCGCTTAGGCATTGCGAGATCACACAAAACACACGCCAGCACGTGTGAGACTGCGGCGAGCGGGAGCGTATGGTAGAGGAATACGTACACACGCTGTCCTACGCTACGGTTGAGGCGCGCGATTCAAAATTTTTGCTCGTAAGAATTTGCGAATAAACGGGGCAACCATTGCGAATAGTGGAAATGAGTAACAATAAATTGATTGCGGATAAACGGGGTCACAAATTCCGAGGCTATGAATAACAGAGTTTGCCTGTACTTGTTATATTCATTAACAAATTTTCACTTTTATTCGTGAAGATTTACTATTATTGTATCTGTATACTGTGCTAATGTAATGAGTAACCAACCAAAGGCCCCTACTGGATATAACCATCTGATGGTTTTGTTGGGCTATACTCCATTGAACTGCCTTAATGTTTACCAATGTTTGTACTGTACTGTATACCCAGTCTAGGCACATTGGTAATTGTATACCTGTACTTGCATGGACTATGTACTGTACACTATACAGTATTGTACTATATTATATTGAACCAATGGTAAACTTATGTGATGATTTTACTGTTAAATAAATATCTGTATCTATCTGGATGCATCCTCTAGTAAGAACAGTACTGTAGTAATATTAAAGTACCTGTACATAAAGATTTATCATATACAGCATACATTGTATTTCCTTGTTAATTCATGTACCAGGAGTACAATACATAACTGATTATATTAATGAAATTTCATTTCCAAACCTTCACGAGTCATCTGGTATCAGCTGTAAGAGTCTTCTAGAAGCATGACTCACTAATTATCAAAAGTTTCATATCATCATACTAAGCCATCTCTCTCTCTCTCACACACACACACACACACACACAGATTTGTTTGCTTCTTCATATAGAGTAATGTATAACTATACCACAAACATGTAGTATATGGTATACCCTGTAGTTATACACTACTGTATACTGTATATGCCTCCATATACAGTAGTTATTTAATTTTCATATTTCTAATCAATTATTTTTTTTCACTTCATTTGCAGCACAGGTATTTTCTATCGACTGTGAGAGAAATAAAGGAATACCTGTACATGTATAGCCTACTACATACTAACACACATTCTCCCAATATTCTTCATCAGCTTCATTCAGTTAGGATAAAATAAAGGCTGATAAGAAAGATATTCTTATTAAATAAAATGTATTACAGTATTCTCAAGCAATCTGAAGCTCTATTTAACCACTAAAACTTAAATTCATTATTATAATTGACTACATAAACAGGTCCATCAAGAAATGGAAAATAGTTTGGTTAAGTCTTATCACATTTTTTCTGCCTTTGTCCCCGAAACCAAAATTTTCAAGAGGGGAGAGCATGTCGCCATGTTCCCCTCTTGAACTTCTCATTTCTTTTTAAAAAATCCTAAAAGAATCAGGGCATAAGTGTCAGCACTGGTTGCAGGATGAAGATCCGAAATGGTGGTAGTCTACAGCTTGCCCCCACCACTTCAAAAAAGTCCTGTGGGTATGGATGCTAAATGATTGAAGATCAACCTTTAACTTAATTGCTATGATCTTATAAAACTTCCCAGGGTGTCATATGACCCTTAAGGATCTACATAACTGGCTTGATAAAGTAATTTGGAAATTATATATGATTTGCCCAAATAACTTAAAAATCTTCCTCAATTATTTGTGAAACATTATAAGGTTGCCTAAGAATAGGTAGCATAATAGCTTGCAAACACAAATAGGAAGTAATATTCAGGGTAATGTCTGAGAACAGCACTACCACCAGAAGTTGTTTGACTTCATTCATTTTGTCCACAGATGTTCTTTGGATGATAGTAAGCAATAAAATTATGAAAATGCAAAGAACCTAATAGAACCTGACCATACCAACCAAAGAATCTGACCTAACGTTACCTAACTTCTAAGCCGGGGGCCCCACAACCACATTAAGGAGAAAGTACTTATTTTAATATCTGGTAACAATAAAAGCAGCTTTGTTGAAGCATCATGGTGTAAATTTATATTTTTGGTTGACGTGAGAGTACGCTCAGACCGAGCGGGTTCATTGTAAACACAAACGACACGTGGTGACAAGGCAGATTTTTGGAGAAGTATTTACAGTAAATAATTAATTTCTTCATGTACAAAGCATCCAGACATCATTTTAGTCATACACCTGTACTGTAATCAGTTTTCACATTTTTTACCCAACAATTTCCCTCATCCTTCATACCCTGCCCACTACAAGTGATTTATGATCGTGGAAAAAAAAAATAAAAAATAAAATAAAAAGTTGTCACCTTTTTTTAAAATACAGTACAGGGGTACTTACTATAATGGTATGAACACCTGTGGAAAAATTAACAAAATCAAATACCCTGTAACCCCTTCTGGTGGTAGAGCTGTTCTCATTAATTACCATATTCAGGTAATGTATATACAGTACATCAGTGTTATCACAATCTATAGGGTTTGTGGAAACAGCTGTGAAGCCTAACTTGGCCCTACTAATTGCAAGACCTAGAAAAAGATTAAAATATAATATTCTGAGAATACTGTATATAATATACTGTATCTTAAACTTAATTTAAGATAAATTATATTTTACTATTAAAACTACTATTATAAAGTTTAGAAATATTAGCTTTCCATTTATATGAACCAAACCACATTACACCAATTGACAAACACGAGCACTTGTGTTCCATTCTTACATACTGTAAAGGCTCTGATAAAAGACACTAACTAACTGACGGTTCGTAATTATGTTTTAATCCATTATTACTAAAACCTTACTGAAACCTTCCTCAGGGAACCATACTCCGCAGTTTACATTACCCTTACTCCCATACGCCCGATGCCGCTAGTTAATTATCAGAACCTAAAAATTTTAAAGGCTAAACAAAAATAAGTGAACATTCTCTACAGGAGTGACAAAGTAGCATTACCCTGCACAATGCCGAACACTTCAAAGTCGACAGAGATGAGTGGTTGAGCAGCCATGGTGGTTACCTCCGTGACAGTCTCGGGGACTACTGTTTCCTGAGGAGGAAAGTCACTAGCTTTTAAAAGTAATTTTTCAACCAAAGTTGAATAAAATTAAACCTTTTCTAACTCAAACCATATATTGACCTTAATCAGATGTAAATAATACTATTACAATCTTTCTTTTTTTAACGTTAGTTAGGTGATGTACCTTGCGGCACGAGGAACTAGCAGCGGCCACCTCAACAACAGTAACAGCTGAGCGTCGCGGCCGCCGCCTGGCTCACCTGTCTCCTCCACGACCATTGGTGGAGAGTATCGGCCTCGACCAACTACAGCTGTGGTCTTTAGTGACGTAAACAATATGGCAGCAATCATAGTGGAAACATCATCGTGAAAGTTCTGCGTTTTACTTAAACAGTTTACAACGCAAAAGTCATGTTGGTGTGAAGCGGAGCAGTTGTTGGGGCGTCTGGCGAGTGAAGATGGCGGTGGACGACTTTAACTTGGGCTACAAGCCTCAGAAACAAGTGATTTACAATAAGCTCCTGCCATACAAGGAACACATAGGCAAAGAAATTCTTGAACAGATCTGTGATATAAAGGAAAATTTATCAAAAGCTGTTATTCTTCGTGACATTAGACCAGGATGTATTCACTGGGTAGCCAAACTGTCAAGGTTAGTGAAGTGTACAAACTAGTACAGTACGTATTGGTGAATTTTGTTAAGATAACATACTGTAGGGCATTTTCTTAAAATTTTTGGTTAATATTCGTTTAATAACTGCGGCAAGATTTTCTTATTTGGTTGTTCTAGGATTATTAGGTTAGTTAGTTTTGGTTAGGTAAGGTAAGGTTAGGTTAGGCTTCAACTGTGATGTGAAAGTTGAAATTGTTATGAGATTCTGTACTTTTACTTTACTTTTTTTTACTTTTATCCTCTTCGCCACTGATCGGCTTGTTAGCGATCGGTCACGTCTCTTTTTCCTGCTTTTATCATTTTAGGAAAACTTGGGTAAATATTTGTTCAATGGCTGTGGCTCATTTTTGTTACGAGAATTTATTATTTTATTTTGTGTGTGTGTGTGTGTGTATTTTTGGGTGTTTTATTAAAATCTGACCTTCATTTCTTGTGCAAATAAATGAAATGGGTGAAAGGAATCAATAAAGGTGATATTGATAAAGTTCTTAAAATATCCGAGCAGGATAGGACTCGGAACAACGGATTCAAGTTGGATAAGTTTAGGTTTAGGAGGGAGATAGGAAGAAACTGGTTTACAAATAGGGTGGTGGACGAGTGGAACAAGCTTAGCAACTTTGTAGCAAGTGCTGGAACGCTGGAAAGTTTCAAAGGGAGGCTGGATAGATTCATGGATGATAGAGAGTGGTAGTAACTCTCGACAGGAGCTGCCATGCACAGGCCAACCGGCCTATTGCAGACTCCTTATTTTTTTATGTTCTTATGTTCTATTAAAAAAAAAAAAAAATTATTTTTCTTTTACAAAATGAGTTAATTTGCCCCAAAAAGGAAGGTCAGATTTGAGTAAAAAAAAAAAAAAAATCATAACAAAGAGGAGCCACAGCCATTAAACAAATATTTACCAAAGTTTTCCTAAAATGATAAAAGAATGAAAATGTGAACCTCGGTACAGAATCTATTTGTATTATTTTGCATCCATACCCAATATAGAAACAGAAAAGAGGAATTAACTAATTACAGTGTACAGTATTAGGTTCATTGGCAGTTATCTACTCTTATTTAATTCTCAGTGGAGGATACAGATTAAGTCGGCCCTTGGTGACTTCGGGCCAGTTGCAGCGGTGATCTCAGCCCATTTCAGTAATGTCGGCCCACATAGGAAGTAGGCCGAGGTCAACAATGATATTAACAGGCAGGATTTAAATATTTGGCTGTTTTTTCCAGTTAAATGGAAAGATAATCTATTTTTCATAGACGTCCCTTAATATACCATTATTGCATTTTCTGTGTTGCCATTCATTATGGAAGTCACACATTACGTAGCGCTTCTTGTCGGTTTCGAACTTGCAATTCACAAAATTCGAAGTTTACGTGTTTTAATGTTTCATGTAGATCCACAATGGAAACGTGAACATGATAAATCTCGATAAAATCACGCAAGAAAAGGGAAACAATGGAGCACCTTAACTTTTGTCTTTATTCAAGACATGTTCAGAGGCAACTGAATTTTTACAGGGACTGAGAGGCTTATACAGATTTTAGATTTTTTTTTTAGGTTGCCCCCAAGGGGGCTAGTTTATTGGGCACCCCCTTACATCCTGTGCAAGGTGAAGCGCAGAAGCGTTTACAGCACCCATCTGGGAAGCATGCGGAGTTCATGCTTGCCTTTATGACTCGTACATTAAGGGCGTAAAAGCCTGAAGGGTCATGGGTTTTGTCAGCAAGTTACATAAAGTGACAGAATGATGAATGTGTGGGGGGGAAAATTCCCGGTACAATTTATCTGTTTATGGCAAAGTGTGGCAGGTCCCTAATAATGTCAAGTGCCAGGCCTGTCACTAGGAGGAGGGATATCTGGTCAGGGAGGGTAGAGGTGTTGGTAACAGCTGGGGACCTGTAGGAGGAGGTCATTGGGCAAGTGAGGATGTAATGAGAGTCGGGTTGACCACAAAGTTTACAAACAGTGCGGCCAGGCTCAGGGTTGCCAATGTACTAAGCGTGGCGAAGTACAGTGGGGGTGGAGGTGATATGGTGCGGTGGGACAGGTACAGTAGCGGTGGAGGGAGGCACATAGGCATTGACAATGTTGAGGAACATACCTTTTAGTGTGATTGTGACGGCGTGTGCATCAACATGCTGGTGGGGTACAGGTAGTCTGAGGTATTATTTATTACTAAAAGTTAAAATCTAGTATTTTTACCCAAACATTTCTCTGGTAGGGAGGGAAGGTGGGGGGTGGGGGGGAGGGTTGGGACCGACTGACCCAGCTGGCGTGAGTGTGAGGGGGGGGAGGCAAGGTGGGGTACTTTGATTGACAGATAATGTCATGAAGAATATTTTTTTTTTATTAACTGAATTTATTTGTTTTAGCTCATAAAATTCATACAAATTACTCGACCAGAATATAATTTACATTGCTGGAATTCTTACAATATGATGATCATTTTGAATATAAACCATGGATTTTGCATTAGGCATACAAATTTTCGATCTAATGTAATAATTTGGTTTACACAAAGCAAATATTTTATCTTTTGTGCAAAATATATGAAGTTTACATTCAAAATATTCCCTGACTTGCAAGGAATCCAGAAATGTCAATTATATTATCCTAACTTTAGTCTGAGGTATTATTTATTACTAAACGTTAAAATCTAGTGTTTTCACCCAATCATTGCTCAGAGGTAGGAGCTAATGAGCTGAGAAGAAGGAGGGGGGGGATTTGAGTCCATTATTTGAATGGACATTAACCTCGCGACTGTATTTCTCTTAAATATTAATTGTGTGAGCATACCATCATAAAATTTAGATGTTATTTTTACTACAACATAGGTATTGTGTCGGAAAAAGTGGAGTTTGGGAGTCGGACCAGTCTCTATTGGAATTAATCCCATATGTTCTGTTGTTCACTTTACGCGGTTTTCACTTTCTGCAGTACCCTGTGGGTTCAATTGACCGCGTAATATCAGGGTACTACAGCAAAAAAAGTTATCATATGGCAGTAATTTCATATCTCCACCTGCTGTGTATGGGAAGAAATTAATTATTTATTGTAAGTATTTCGCCGATAATTCTCCTGTGGCGTGGCGTGTTTTGTGCACTGTTAAACCAAAATATTTTTAATCGGGTCTTTGCTTCCTTTCAAATAAACAATGGACCATCACATTGGGGGTTTTATTATTGTCTTGTTTTAAATTCTATAGGCTTCACTTTCTGGGTTATCATGTTTATAGCCAGAGCAATTTTTTATTTTATTTTATTTTTTTTTTTTTTTTCCACAATTGGTTGTTGAACTTGTTCTATGTATAAAGGCTTAGGTTTGGATACATTTCCAATTTCTTTCGAGTAGCATTGAATCATGACTTGCTAGTTTGGAGGACATTTTTTTGGTCTCATTTTGCTCAATATTTGATGCTTAATGCAATGGTGATACTGTAGTCTTTTGTGTGTGTGTGTGGGGAAGCACTAAATTTTTTTTTTCAACTTCCAAGTTGAGAATCAAGAAGTAAAAAAGCATGTTTTTTTATATTACTATCACCATTTTCCATTGAAAAGCAACAAATCATAATCTAACCTAAGCTTAGTCACGTGTTGTCATGTACAGTAGTAACGAGAACGATTCTCTCAAAGCTGAAAAAAAAAATCCCTCATCCCCGGAATTTTCTGGGAACCGGTAAAATTTTCCAGAAAATGTGTCCCTCAGCAAATCATTCCCAAACCTGGAATTTTCCAGAGAATTCTGGCTTTGGGAATGATTATCCGAGAAAATTTCAATTCCAGCTTTCGGAGAGTTCTGGTTAAGAGGGATTTCGGCTAGCGGAGATATTACTACTGTACTTATTGTTCTTCCTCAAGGAAGACTGAAGGAGAAAGACATGTTGGTTCTCAATGGCATTGTTACCGTCTCATGTTTGATATCATAACACAAGTTATCTTTGCTTGTGGAGGATGACAACTGTCTCCAAGAGTTCATCTGTCAACATGGACTGGTTGGTAAGATGTGCAAGTGTTCGAAATGCAACAGAGAACTGACAGTGAGGAAGAAATATGTGTTTCAGTGCAACAACCAAACCATCTGTACTCTTACATCCCCAAAAAACATAAAATTACACCATGGCATTTGAAGAAAGTGCTTTCATTGGTACCTGATATCAAAGTAAGTTCTTCTTGCTTATTTTACCGGGGATTTGCCAACCACGGGGTTTTTCAGCAACCTTACCCCTGCGGTTGGCGAGAGACTACTGTAGTAAGTTTTTGGAAACATTTATCTGGATAAAAAAAGTATTAGATTTTAACCTAGGTATTAGATCTCATTGCTGTAGCTAACTTTTGCCCAAAATCTTTGATATGTCATAATAGAGGTAGGACACTTAGCTTTTTTTGTAGCAAGTAAATAGTTTAAGGGAGGGCCAGTCTGTGGACTTTTGTTTAATAGCATTTGACTAAAAACTGAATAAAAAATGGCAGAACTAGTCCTGATTGCAGCATTAGAACCATAGCTTGTGACTTGAAGTGTGATGATAGGTCAGGCACTCTTGCTATAACATTTCCTTTCTGTAAAGGACAACTGTTGTACTTGATATCCCTGTACAGTACTGTATTGGGTAACTGGGTATAATTTGTTTACCCATATTGTTTAATACACTGTATTAACCTGGGTTAAATAAATAAAGGTTTAAGTACATTGAACTCCCAAGTTGGCAACCTTTATTATGAGAGGTGGTCTGCATGCATGTTCTGCCAGGAAAGGGGATTTCAGGATTAGTTTTCCCACAACTTGGCCAGACAGATTTTAGAAAATACGTACACACACACTGAGAGTGTTGACCAAGGTTAGACCAGGCCACACTAGGGTATCAGCATTAGCTATTATGATGTTAAAGCTGTCTGTGACAGATTAAATGAGGTCACTGACATGTCAGTGGCAGTGAGCAGAAACTTGGCACTGAGACCATTTGAAGGAGGACAGGGAGGGAAGTGCTATTATTATCATCATTCTTCTCAACTTTTTATCTTAATACTGTACAGTATACTTATTCCTAAACTTCTGAATTACCGTATATACAGTACAGTACTCTATTTACTGGGAATAAAATTAATATTATTTAGTAAATTTTAAAATAGTGTGTGCATGCGTGCGTTATGTTGCACTTGCCAGTTCCCTTTTCTTCATTGAAAATACTTTTCTACATTAAAACAAATACAGCGGGTCCTATATATGTGGAGGTTGCTTTCCAGAAAAGGTTTGCATAAATTGAAATTTCATGTGATGAACTATTACCGGTACTTCCTTGTAAAAAAAATAGGGAATGTAGTACTGTACTTCCACTTCTTCCATTATGCGAGCCTGACATAAAGATGGCACTGTAGCACAGAGATAGTGCACTAAATACACAAGAATCTTCCCAGTGAAAATTTTTACAGAATGATGTCAAGCCAAGCAACACACTGAGCTTAGGTTAAAGAAACTAATATTTTCTCTAAAGACATTTATTAAAAAACTTAATATTTTATAAATTATTATTTTCAGTAAACACAAATACAGTAATAGAAATCTGTACACTACAGTGTATTGATAGATGGGAAGTTGGTTTGTCTTTGACAGTAGCATAGGTACAGGTGACTTGGTACATGTGGCAACACTGCCATGATGGTCAAGGTATCCCAATTGGAGGACGTTCGGGACAATAGTCACAGTAAACCCTTAAACATCACAGGGATTAGGTTAATGAAGACCCAAAACTGCAATGTTCATCTACGGGGAGCCGAAATTGCCAAAAAATGAAAACAAAAAACACTCCATAACACATTTACTTTCCACATATGTTCTTTATATTTCTTATTTTATAGTTTTATATTATATTTTCCATATTTCTAAGTCACATAGAGTATTGCAATGATTTTTTCACAACTTTTATAGTTTCATTACGAGTAACAATATACGAGGCAGCTGGGCTGGCGAGTCGGCCACATAATTTATAGCCAAGGCCTTGGCTAGAACCGCCTCCATAGATACGCTTTCACTTCTCGCACATACACACCCATGCTCTTCATTTTTCTTATTTTATAGTTTTATATTAGTATACCTGTACTGCATTTTCTTTATTTCTAGAGTAGAATAATTGTAAAAGAAGTCCGTTTTCTAAGACACGTGCTAGGAGTCAGCTGCGATCTGCGAGATGGTGATACATGTTGCCATTGTTACATATAATGAAACTATAAAAGTTGTGGAAAAATCATTTCAATATGTGGCTTAGAAATATGGAAAATATAATATAAAACTTTAAAATAAGAAATATGAAGAGCATGGGGGTGTATTCTGTGTCTCTAAGATGCAGTGGGACTTTCCTGCTCCATCATAGAGACCCCTCGTGGCCAGTAGTGGAAGTTGTCAGATGCATGTATACAACCTCCCTTGCTCCCCATGCAACCAGTAGTGCAATCCACAAAGGGACGAGGGCTGCGTAGTTTAAGGGTTTACTGTACCCTGTACCCGTAATATCTAAAGGCCAATTAAATGTAAAGTCATAAATATACCCCCATTTGGGATTTAGGTGTTGACCATTATACAATTGATTGATGTACGATCAATCAGTTTTACGATGTTAAGAAATTTACAATACTGTAAATACTACTATGCAGTAGCTAAGATGAGATTAACGATGGTCGTTACCCAATTGCTACCCAAATGCTTTTCCTGCATTGTCACTGCTATAAAAAAGTGATGTGCAATAGTAACTCACAATATTCCAAGATATGATGGTGCAATCTTGGAATAGCGTAACATGTGCAACCCGTGCGAGATGTATGGGAGCCTCTGCTTGTCCCCTATGACTGCCACACTTAGCAGCTGAATGGATGGTTTGTGTGTGGAAGAAGCTATTCTTTGTACATAAAATATTTTATACCATACTGTACCAGTAAATGTACTAAATAAATAAAAATAATCATAATGAATAAAAGAAAAGAAAAAATATTTCATTGTCATTTGGCAATCATGTCACTACACACGGGACACGAGACAGAGAACAGCTGAGAACCCTACTTTGCCCATCCCTCTCCTGGTCTGTGTGATAACTCCTGTGCACGTAAGAAATGTTTATTCTCTATGTTTTTGGCCTTAAAATAATTTTTTTTCCACATTCTGTATGAAAAATTTTGTGCACGTAACAAAAGAAAAAAAATGAAGACAGTTACGTATGTTGACCTGAAATTACGAAAAATAACTGCTCTGATTGCTAACTCTGGCTCATCAGGGTCTCAGGAACAGAACCTATTTTTCCCCATAAGTTATTAATATCGATATACTGTACAGTACTTATGATCAATCACCTTATGATGGCTTTTCGAAGTCCCTAACCCTATCGTAAAATGATCAACACCTGTTCTATACTTGTACCTTGTTTCTGCAGCATTGCCACATGAATAAGTATCCGTCACTAACGGAATGGGTTAGATCCCTTTAAGACTATTCAGTAATCAAATTTTCGGATAGCGAACACAGTAACATAATACAGTACTGTAAATGGAAAGTATAATTAGTGTACAGTACTGTACTGTGTTTTGTATTTTCTTGTGATTTACACAATTACTGAAACATTATTTAGAGTGTTATACCTAAAAAAAAAACTAAGTAAAATACATAGCTATACTCTATACAGTTGTTACAATACATTACCTTAAATTGAGAATTCCCTCATTCCTGATGCTTGATTGTCTCAAGCTTGGTTTCAGTTATCACAGGCAGTGGATGCGGTAGCTGAGGAATCTTCTCTCTGCTTGGATACAATTGTGTACAGATTTACAAAAGGATGGCATAAATACAGATGGATCAAGAGACAACACTGCATATTTGATGACCATAGTGACCACCCCAGCTTATTCCTGGGATGTGCCTGGCATGCAATTAAAATTTTCGATCAGACCAACATTTGGATAAGTGAATACCAGCTTTGGATATCAAAAAAGAAGTGTAATAATATAATTTTCAGTTAGCAATCATTTGTGTAGTGAAGGATACCTGTGTGTAATAGGACTGTGTAGTTTTTGATTTGTTAAAATAGTTAGTGCTAAATTTTGTGGTTACCGGAACATAATTTTGTTCTTCTCTGGATATGAAATCACCTTTTCAGTTTGAGTTACAGTATAGTATATGCAATTCTGCAGTCCAACCTTCATCATAAAGTATTTGCTTTTATTCAGTATGCTTCACATTGCTGCCCCGTAGGCCAGGAATCCCATAAGGGATAGTGCAGATACAGCACAGTATTTAGTGTCAATACTTAAGGAATCAGTGTGGCCAGTTTTATGTTAAACTGCCTTTACTTTCCAAACTGTAAAATCAGGTACAGTACCACTGAATGTGAAATTAGGTACAGTACTACTGAATGTGAAATCAGGTACAGTACCACTGAATGTGAAATCAGGTACAGTACCACTGAATGTGAAATCAGGTACAGTACTACTGAATGTGAAATCAGGTACAGTACTACTGAATGTGAAATCAGGTACAGTACAGTACTACTGAATGTGAAATCAGGTACAGTACTACTGAATGTGAGGTACAGTACTACTGAATGTGAGGTACATCACTGAATGTGAAATCAGGTACAGTACCACTGAATGTGAAATGTGTACTACTGAATGTGAAATCAGGTACAGTACTACTGAATGTGAAATCAGGTACAGTACTACTGAATGTGAAATCAGGTACAGTACTACTGAATGTGAAATCAGGTACAGTACAGTACTACTGAATGTGAAATCAGGTACAGTACTACTGAATGTGAAATCAGGTACATTACTACTGAATGTGAAATCAGGTACAGTACTACTGAATGTGAAATCAGGTACAGTACTACTGAATGTGAAATCAGGTACAGTACTACTGAATGGTCTGATGTTGCCCTGGTCACATTTTAGTGACCCATAGAACAAAAGATGACCTCTATCTAATAATCCACTGCACATATTATCCCTAAGGTTTTAAGGTTGTCTGCTGCACATGGGTGCCATGATTGGGCACAGCTTTATCTTGTGGAGTAATTTGTTCATGTAAAAAGAGGCTCCAAAATAGGGTAGGCTAGTTACCCCTAACACTTAAAAAAAAATTGTGTTTATCTTGTGTCCAAGTAATGGAGGACAAGATATATTAATGCAATGGCTTAAACTTACTCAGAATTTAAGGTGTTGAGGTTTAATGGTTGGTACTGCAACATGGAAAGGGCACTTTGTTTTAATTTTATGCACCTGTCAATTTGCAGTTTTACATTGCTGTATTATGGTATGATAAAGAGTGTGTGTGTATGTTTTAGAATGTGATGTCATGTGTATTGTACCTTTGATAATTTTATTTTAGCATGTATTGCTCAAGGGAGTATATTCTCCTCATATTTGTGGAAAAATTAGGACATTCTTTTTCAGCTGGTGGTTGGTGTAATGGGTTCCTATTTGTGTGGTATACACTGTATATACGGTACAGTAAAGGTATTTTCTTCCCTTTTACATTTAGCTGTAGCATTAAAGTTTGATGTGATTATTAAATGGAATTTGATTGTGGCAACAGATAGAGGAAGTAATGTTTAAATTTTTCACTGCAGATTTGTGAAGCTCTATGGCATGTGTTTCTCCAAAGAGGACCACATATGTCTGGTGAAGCTCATGTACGAACTGGCTGTCACTCTCAACCAGGAGTTTTGGGTCATGGCCAAATTTGCCCAGATGCTCACTATCTTGTTAAAGTAAGTAACTCTCTCTCTTTCTCTCGCTCTCTCAGTGCATTGCATAGGCCTGATAGGCAGTTTTGCAGTGTGGATACAGCACACTATACTAAGCCTGCTGTACATGGAGGCAGAGTGGCCATCACTTTATTCAACCACTTTCACTTCCCCAATTGTAAAATCAGGTATCCATTCACAGCTGGGTGGACTTGAGTCGAGTGCCTTATGATGGTACAGCATACACCCCAGAATAAGTTTTTTGTTTTTACTCATTCTTGTATTACATTTTTTGGCCCCAAAAAATTTGCTTGGGAATGCATCTCAAATTATATAATGGTAGTCAATGGGAAAATTGGTCCTGAATTACGGGGGAAAAAAACGGAACCCTTCCGTAACGCGGGGGAGGCCTCTACCTGCTATAAAATTTGGACAGTTTTATTTTTTTCATGATTTGATAATTGTTAGCAAATGAATTGCAATAGTATTAATGAATGGTTGGTGTTTATCCAAACAGAAAGAAAGAGCTAATAGTTCCGGGTGAGCTGGTATTGGAGTGGCGCCCATTGTATGATTTATACAATAGCCTATTTTACAATTCCTACAACACCATTGGGATGCTGATGCTGCCATCGTAAGTTTTACATAGTTCTTCAGTTACTGTTGGGATTACATTTCATGTTCTTCATAAGTGACCCAGAGGCAGGCTGATCTCTTGGTAGTTCATAGTTCCTAATTCAATGAAGGTGCTGTAATCCCTCATGTTTATAAAAATCAAATCTTGATGTTTGGTAATTCATGGACATCTTATATGTAGTTTTAAAGATATATATATATATATATATATATATATATATATATATATATATATATATATATATATATATATATATATATATATATATATATATATATATATATATATATATATATATATATATATAGTTTCACAATCATGTGTACAGTATGACTGTAATAACTTCACCTCTGCTTTTGAATTACACTGAGCCAGAGAAGTCTGTTACCTCTTCCTGTAAATCTGAATCCCATTGCTATTCTCTTTTAAGAAGAAAATAGCCTTTTATTTATTTATTTATTTTTTTGTAGTTGGGAATTCTTTTTATTTTCACTGGATAGTTAAGTCTTGCCTATACTGTAATGTTTAAATATGTGTTCGTGATGAAGTTTAGGCTCCACCATCTATGTGTCCCCCCAAACCTTTTGTGTCCTGCTAGTTCATGTACAGTAATTGTGAGTGCATGTTACTCCCTTCTATATTTTTATATTTACTGTACTGTACTATATATTCAGTAAGGGTAGGACCAGTTTATAACAATAGAGGTGAGATAAATGTGCCTGATCTTGATTCTTGTCTGTGATGAGCACAGTTGTTACCAGCAACTGGATAGAAAGAATTATTATTTTTTTCATAAGTAGAAAGATTTCCAACTTTGACCTTAAGCCTTTGGCCGCTAATCTATCACTCAAAAGAAATTCTCAATCCATTGGTATAGAAATTTTAATATATATAGTAATAGATCATTTTTTTTCTCATCAGTGATAATCAGCATTGGTTGCACGGCCGTTAGAATTAGTATGTGTGATTCCAACTTTACCCGGTATATTCTGCCATTTCCTTGATGTTTGGGAGACTTTTCAATATCATCTTCAAATCTTGGTGTACTTTAATGCAACTCAACATTGTTTTTAAAGTTTTTGAGAATACTGTACTGTATCAATGTCAGTTTCAAAAATCTGTTTTATTAGATTTTGAATGGAGTTACTGTAACCATGTTTGTCATTTTCAATTTTTCTGAAATGACACATTTTGGAGACACTCAGATTATTTCAGATATTTAATTTTACTGCCAAAAGTTAAAATCAAGTGATAAGTTTGTCCTCACTAGTAAGGTGAACATTCTTTGTTTGAAGCTGAACATTTGAAATTTCTCTTGACCCAGTGCCATGAATGTCATAAGGGTTCTTCAGTAAGTCCTCGCTTAACGTCGGGGTTACGTTCCTAAAATCGCGATGTTATACGAAACAACATTAAGTGGACCAATTTTCCCCATAAGAAATAGATAAAGTATGGGAGTTACGTTCCTGAGCCTCCCTTTGCCCCATGAAATACATTACATATACCTGTACAGAAAATCATTGCCATTTCTATAGAAAATAGTACATGCATATACTGTACAACTATACCAAGTTTGTATGGATACTCACCGATGGGTGGAGGTGGTAGAACGAGTGTGTGGTGGGTAGTGAAGCGGATGGCGGGAGGGGAGAGGGGAGGAGGGTGGTAAGTCACTGAGACTGCGGCTGCCTCCTCCCCCTCCTGCGCTGACTGAGGTTCCTCCGCCGTTGCTTGCTCCTCTTCCGTTGATGTTTGCTCTTCTTCCATTGTTGTTTGCTCCTTCTCGGCTGCTGTTTGCTCCTCCTCGGCTGCTGTTTGCTCCTCCTCGGCTGCTGTTTGCTCCTCCTCGGCTGCTGTTTGCTCCTCCTCGGCTGCCAGCTGTTGTGAAGATACTGCTGCTGCTGCTTCTGCCGTCCCACAACGAAAAAATCAATTCAGCGTTGACTGCTTGGTGCGACTCTTCTTCTCCTTATACATCTCAGTGTAACAACCAAGACTGTCATCAATGCTGCGTTGAATCTTTGTGCTACGTTCTCTGTTTGGGTCGTCATCTACAAGGATTTGCATACCTTGCTGGATCATGTTGAACGCTTCTGCCATCCTCTTGGTAGTTAGCGTTCGTTGAAGTTCTACTTCATCGTTATCTTCAACATGACTGTGTTCTGTTAGTTGTTACAAATCCTCATTGGTGACCTCTTCTGTATGGGATGCAAGGACATCCTCAATATCCTCTGATTCCAGCTCATCAAAGCCTGCCTGTCTAGCCAAACTGAGGATATCCCTATTCACAGCTGGGACTAAGTCTGTGAATCCCGTAAAACTGTTGACGCACTCGGGCCACAATTTACGCCACACACCATTCAGGCAACTCTCTGAAACCTCTTCCCATGCCTTGCCAATGTTGTCAATTGCATGAAGAATGTTGAAGGCACGCCAATATTCTCGGATCGTAGGTTTGTTTTCTCCGTCTGTAGCGTTGAGCAGCTGGGCCATGGTACGGCGTAAATAATACGCCTTGAATGTGGCGATGACGCCTTGGTTCATAGGCTGCATTAGTGCTGTTGTGTTGGGAGGCAGGAATACAACTTTTACACTGTCATGCAAGTTGTTGTGATTGGGAGGATGAGCTGGAGCATTGTCAATGCTCAGAAGAATTTTGAAGTCAAGGTTCTCCTTGCCACAGTATTCCTTCATTGCAGGGACGGCGTACACGTTTAACCACTGGCTAAATATGGCGCCGGTTGTCCTTGCCTTCTTGTTTGCCTTGTAAATGACAGGAAGGTGATCCTTAGCCTTTCAAGGCCCGTGGGTTAGTAGCGCGAGAAATCAGCATAGGTTTCAGCTTGAAGTCGCCGGCAGCCTTCGCGCCAAGCAGCAGTTCAAGCGGTCTTTTGCCGCTTTAAAACCTGGCGCTCTTTTCTCCTCCTTGGAGATATAGGTCCTCTCAGGCATCCTCTTCCAAAAGAGACCATTCTCATCCACATTGAAGACTTGCTTCAATGAGTAGCCTCCTTCCTGGATAATCCTTTTGAATTCTGGCGGGAATGTCTCGGCAGCAACCGTATCTGAACTGGCAGCTTCACCAGTCATATTAATATTGTGGAAGTTATATGACGCTTAAATCGTTGAAACTATCCTCGGCTGGTCGTAAAGGTCTCTTCCTTCGATCCTTTACCCTCTTCTGCCTTTAAGTCATCAAACAAGGATCTGGCCTTATGTTGGATAACCATAAGGCTCACAGGTGCATTGCGTTGATTCTGGTCCTCTATCCACATTGCCAGTTTCTTTACCACCTTTTCTATCACAGTGCTTATAGTATGAGTTGTCTTAGTTGCACTCAGAGAAGAACCACTTCCAGCACTAACCTTAATCTTGTCAGCGTTGGTTCGGATAGTACACACCGTTGTGGGGGGTTAGACCAAGCACAGCGGCTATGTCCACATCGTGTTCCCCTTTTCAAAACTGGCTAATACATCCATTTTTGTAGCCAGGGTAAATGGTCTTACGTTGCCTCATGACTACACTAGCATTAGTAGCACTTGGAAGCTATTTCGAATGGTTAGAGTACAGTTTTAGAGCAAAAGCACTTAAGCACTCACGAATGATGTGAAGTCGTAACAAAGACCGGCTCGGCGTTGCTTGGGGACGCTGTGACATTCTGCGTGTGAGGGCAGTGCGAGGAGTGGCCAGACAAGAGCGGGTGATGTGTCGTAGAAAGTAGTCCGCGACGACGCAAAACGACATAGTATCGGATCACCGGGACGTTAAGCAAATTTTTGGTCTCTAAAGTTTAGCGACATAGTACCGGAACAACGTTAAGCGGGACGACTTTATACTAGGACTTGCTGTACTGAAGTGTATTATGTTACTCATGGCTTTCTTTTATTCTGTATGTACAGTATCTTTAAGTTGACTTTTCTCAAACAGTATTGGCCTTACTACAGTCATAAAACTTCACATGCACCTTAATGAGCACTACAGCGTCCCTGTCACCTGCATTTTTTGCTTTACACCATTTGCTAATTAGCTTTAATCATGACACCAACCAGTTGTGCAAGTTTAACATCTCATCTTGTCCCCACATGACAGCTGGGGGCTGATCTTATGATTGTCCACCCCTCTCCATCATTATCATCACCCTGCAAAGACAGTGATTAGAGACAGAGGTTGACCTTTGGTGTTATGAGGTGTAATTAGAGTTGAGGTAACTGGCTAATACCTCACATCCCTACTCCTGGTTGCCATTTTCTTTTTATAATATTACCAATCCATCATTATGCTTCCATCCCCAGATGACACTCACAGAGAACAGTCACACTTCCTTCACTCTGTTCTCTTCTGCTTCATAATAAAACAGTGTCTGCCCATTTTGGTACTTGAGGGATAGTTGTCAGGGTTGATACTGCAGTTTTAATAGTGTCCATAAACATATAAAAATATTTGTCTCTTTTTGTTTCATGTGGTTTATATGCTTGACTTATTCTTATCATGTGTGAGTTGGCATACTGGAAATACATGTTGTGTATGAACCAGCAGTAGGAACATGTGTGACCTTGTCCTATATTACTAGTGGTTAGGACTAGGCTCATACCCAATTTACCTGTGTTTGTATTGACAAGTAGCTTAAAAAAAGGGATTAACCAACTCTGGAACAACTCCCATGAGGTTTTAAGCAGTTTTGCACTTTAAATCCACCACCCCACATAATTTGGGGATTTTATATACAGTACTGTACTTAAGTATGATTTTCATAGTTACTCTAAACTAAGTGGTTCCCAACTTTGTCACATGATGCCTTCCCATTTGCTTTTTAACTAACCCTCACACCTCATTCCCTTCATTTTTTAAAAGAAATCTAATAAACTTTTAATCAATTTTACACCTTGTACAGTACTCGTATTTACGTTACTTTCAAGATCAAGTCCTGTAACTCGTAATTATTTTATCCATGTATCTTTTTCATAGGGGGAAGATTGAACTATACTAAGAAAATTATT